ACTACTACTACTACTAATAATAATAATAATAATAATAATAATAATGATAACAGGCCGTATGTAAAGACAAAATATTCCCCGGAATCGAAGTTTTTGGGCGGCCCTACGGTAAGAGTGGAGAGCCGAGGCTGGCTTACATGCTGGCCTTCGCCCTGGCCCTTGCTTGCATTTGCATCGGTTGGTTGATTGACTGATTTATTGATATAATAAAATGATAATTTAGAACAATAAAACTGATTATTGCAATGTTAATAATCATATCTTACCGGACAGGTGACTTGAATGCCATCGCTCCCCTCATATCAAATTTCTTCCTCATGTCTTACGCGCTTGTTAATTATTCATGCTTCGACGCATCACTCGCCAAATCACCTGGTTGGTCGATGGCTGGTTGCTGATTGGTTGGTTGGTTGATTGGGTTTTAATGATTGGTCGATTTATTGATTCAATCATTCATCTAGGTTGGCGACCCTCTTTTAAATACTACTCGATGTGGTTGAGTTTGATGGGCGCCATTCTGTGTGTGGGGGTGATGTTCGTTATGAACTGGTGGACGGCCCTCATCACCATCGCCATTGTGGCTGCCCTGTTCGTCTACGTTCATTACCGCAAGCCTGGTTAGACGGTTGTTGTTGTTGTTGTTGTTGTTGTTGCTGCTGATGATGATGGCGGCGGCGGTGTCGCTGGGCTGCTGCTGATGTTGTAAAATGCTTTCATCTCATTACCACACACATACACACATACCTACATATACACACATACACACATACATACGCACACACGCACAGATATAAACTGGGGCTCATCCACGCAGGCCCACGTGTACAAGGACGCCCTACAAAACACCCAGAAATTAGTCCAAGTGGATGAACACGTGAAGAACTACAGGTTGGTGACGGGCGTCAACATGGCAGTGATGGCCGAGCTGATAATTTTTCTTGCGTAGCTTATACAACCAAAACAAAACACCGCGTCGCACCCTCTCTATCTCTCTCTCACACACACACACACACACACCTGCAGACCACAGATCCTGGCTCTAACTGGACTGCCTCAAGATCGCGTACCCCTTGTCGATTTCTGCTCTTCAATCACGAAGAATATCGGCCTCATGATTGCTGGCCACGTTGTTTTGGTTGGTCATCTAATCATTCATTCACTCACTCATTCATTCATTCATTCATTCATTCACTTACCTAGACTCCAGTCCAGTATAAACTAATGGACTTGCGACAGTCTGTGCAGAAGGCTCACCTCTGGCTGAACAAGCAGAAGATCAAATCCTTCTACTCTGTGGTTGCCGCAGACAACTTGAGGCGAGGCGTGCAAGCCATGTTGCAGGTAGTTTTGATGATGATTGTTACGATGGTTATGATGATGATGCATTTATATCTTCATTCATTCATTCATCCATCGAACTATCCACTAATTAGGCGATAGGTTTGGGAAAGTTGCGTCCAAACGTCATGCTCCTGGGCTTCAAATCAAACTGGAATGACTGCAGCCCGGAGGAAGTCCAGGACTATTTCAACATCATCAAGTTGGTCGCCACACACACGCACACACACACACACACACCTACACACACACACGTACATAAACACCCACATACACACACACACACACACACACACACACACATGCAGTGATGCATTCGACTTACATTACGGAGTTGGCATACTGCGTCTGCAGTCTGGACTCGATTTTAGTAATTTGCATAAAAAAGGTTGTTGTTGATTTTGATGTGTTGTTGATGTTGTTGTTGTTGATGTTGTTGTGTTGTTGTTGTTTTGTTGCTAAGGATGCTAAGCCAAAATGATCAACCTTCACCTTCAAGTTAATGGAGACAATTGTTGACATGAAAATATAACAAAAACTTACTTAAAACAACGCCTCCATCACAACAACAAACCCCACACTTTAGAAGGAACGACCAATTCAGATTCCTTCTCCAAGCTGGCCACACCGACAACGGCGACCGTTGGTGGTCTGGGTGGCGACGACGATGACGACGACGAATTCGACTTCCACGAGAGGAAAAATCGCGAAGAATCGCCAAATAAAAATGAGAAATTAGGCCTGATGGGGATTAACAACAACAACAGCAACAACAACAATAATAATGACGATGATGGGTGCGAGAATTGTGACGCGACGGGTGGTGTAAGATATTTCAGAAGCAAGCAGTCTAGAGGGTTCATCGATGTCTGGTGGTTGTTTGATGATGGAGGTTAGGGCTGGGGGTTATTATTATTTATTTTTCATTTATTTTTTTTATACTTCATTTGCATTCAACGACAGGCCTTACTCTCCTAATTCCCTACCTACTGAGTACCAAGAAACTCTGGAAGAACTGTCAACTGAGAGTCTACATAGCAGGGAGTAAGGCCACTGAACTAGATCGAGAACAGCGCCAGTGAGTAGTTGTAGTAGTTGAAGTAGCAGCAGCAGCAGTAGTAGCAGTAGTAGTAGTAGTAGCCGTAGTAGCCGTAATAATATTATTTTCATCACAATCATGAATAAAAATGTAAAATTATCGTCAGAATGGCGAACTTGCTGAGCAAGTTTCGTATTGAATACTCATCTCTCGTCGTCCTGCCTGATATCGGCAAGAAACCTTCTGAACAGAGGTTCTTATTCGTTCGTTTGTTCATTCGTTCGTTCGTTTGTTCGTTCGTTTGTTCATTCGTTCGTTCGTTTGTTAGTTCGTTCGTTCGTTCAATCCTTTATTTATTTAAATTTTTGTGAGATAATAACGTGCATACTTGCTGAAATTGAAGTATAGTCAGTTTTTCTTCTTCATCATCACCATCATGATGACATCAAGTTTCATCTTCATCATTATCTTCATCATTATCTTTATCATCATCTTCGTCATCATCTTCATCATCATCTTCATCATCATCTTTGTCATCATCTTCTTCATCATCTTCTTCATCATCTTCTTCGTCATCATGATGACAGCATCACAGACTTCAGCAAGTTGATAAGTAAGTGGACAATCAACAAGCAGCTGAAAGAGACAGAACAAACTCATCCATGGAAAATTACCGAAGCGGAGTTAGTGGCGCAAAATGCCAAGGTAGGTTGTTGAATGGTCGGTTGTTGATTGGCTGGTTGTTGAATGGTCGGTTGTTGATTGGCTGGTTGTTGAATGGTCGGTTGTTGATTGGCTGGTTGTTGAATGGTCGGTTGTTGATTGGCTGGTTGTTGAATGGTCGGTTGTTGATTGGCTGGTTGTTGAATGGTCGGTTGTTGATTGGCTGGTTGTTGAATGGTCGGTTGGTCGTCTGCTTGATTGGTTGATTGGCCAATCACCATCATTATCATCATTTTCTTTTTCTTCATCATCATTGCTGTCATCATCATCATCATCATTTTTCCAGAACTACCGCCACCTAAGGCTGAAGGAGCTGTTGAAGCAGCACTCTTCAGATTCCAAATTCATCGTCATGTTAGTGAACATTATCATCTTCTGTATCGTCGTCTTCATTTTTATCATTTATCGTCATCATCTCAACCACCACCATCATCATCACCACCACAATCATCATCATCTCAACCACCACCACCACCATCATCATCACCACCACAATCATCATCATCTCAACCACCACCATCATCATCATCATCACTATCACCACCACTATCACTATCAGGACCCTTCCAATTCCTCGTCGTGGCATCTGTTCATTCGGCTTGTACATGGCCTGGCTGGACACCCTGACCTCTGACCTCCCGCCCTTCTTGCTGCTGAGGGGTAACCAGGAAAACGTTCTCACCTTCTATTCTTAGTGCGTAATGTAAAGAAGAGGATGCTGGAAAAGTGGGTGACGGAAGATAGGAAGATGCAGTAAAAGAGGGCAGAGAAGATGAGGTTGAGGTTGGGGTTGAGGGTGAAGATGAGAAGGAGTCGAATGAAGACGACGACGATGATTACAAGATAATGATGAAATGATAACCAAAAGTTAAAACTCGACAGTAATGTAGATGATGATCATTCAGGTAGATAGTGATGTAAAATCAGTGATGACTCAAAAAGCACCACCCAAAAAATTTTTTACTTAACACAGGCATCAAAACTTCTTCAGAAATCCATCGCATGTAGATTGCGTTTCAAGTTTAGGCTTAATTTATGCTACAAATATGATACTTATACACGAATGTCAATATATATTTACACACACACGCACACATGCACATATTTTGGCAATTTTTCAAGAGAGAAATTATTCAGCCTCACATCTTTACACCTGAATTAATTATTTTATGATGATAATGATACGATATTATTGTTATTATTTATTTATTTATTTATTACTTAATACCAAATTATATTATATTATAACCTTCCGATCGAGAAAGCTTCAACGATTATAACAGTAATAGTAGTAATGTTAATAGTAATTATCTTATTTATATATATTTGCAATTATTATTTGTATTATTGAGACTGTTAGGCGCATTACGTAATTCATAATTCATTACGTAAATTTCCTAAAATTTATGCAATTTTTGTATGTTACTCTGCCTTCCAAATTTTTTGATTCATCTTTGTATTCATTCATTCATTCCTACATTCATTCATTCATTTATCCATTCATTCATTCACTCATACATACATACATACATACACATACACGCTCACACACACACATATGCAAAGAATGTTTTATACGTGTCTTTACAATCAAGTAGATATACAAATATGTATAAATATTTATTTATAATAAAAATAATTAATAATTATGTTAAATAATATTAATAATAAATAATAATATAAATAGTTATATTTTATTTTTCATGTTTGGTTAGAGACGAACGAATGAAAAAGTTATTGTCTTCCATTACTGCAATATGGAGGAAGGCCTTTTTATGTGCACTTAATTATTAATTATGAAATTATGAATATATATATATATATATATATATATATATGTGTGTGTGTGTGTGTGTGTGTGTGTGTGTGTGTGTGTGTGTGTGTGTGTGTGTGTGTGTGTGTGTGTGTGTGTGTATGTATAGATATATTCAGAGTGATGTTTTTAACTCATTTATTTGATTTCTCCTTTCTTCCAATCAAGCAATCAGTCTTCTAGTTTTTAACTGTTTTTGATTTTTTTTTAAATCATGTATTACGAAATTGGCGTTTGTGTTTTTTTGTCAAATCGATCGATCATTCATTTATTCGTTTGTTCATTCTTTCATTCGTTCGTTTGTTCGTTCATTCATTCAGTTAGTTATTTTCGCAGTTTTAACGTACGTTCTTGAATGTCACTTGCACAATTATGCATTATGAGTTTCATTTCACGGTACTAACAGTAATTAAACTATCACCACTATTAATAAATAAATAAATTCATCCATTCTTTCATTCCTTTATGCCTTCATTCGTTCATTAATTCACTGGTTCATTCATTCATTCACTTAATTTGACCAATGTCCATATTTTGATCTGTTCACATGTTTTGCTATTCATCTAATTTATTTTGGCAGGTCGTATGTACATATAATTCTCTTTCTCACTCCTCTCTCTTTCTCTCTCTTCCCCCCCTCTCTCTCTCTCTCTACTTTTTATACAAATTATTTAATTATTTATTATGTAAAATATCAATCAATACACAATGTAAATGTGTGCGTGTGTGTGTTCCAGAAATTAAAATGAAAAGTAACATATCATCATGGCCAATCTCTCATGCTTATTCATTCATTCATTTATTTTTTTTTTCCTGCTATTTATTTCTCAAAAATGAGATGAAAATAGTCACATTGTTGATTTTTCTTTCGGTCATTTAAAAAAATATAATATTAAAAAGAGCAGTGGTAGAAGTAGCAGCAGCAGTAGTAGTAGTAGTAGTAGTAGTAGTAGTAGTAGTAGTAGTGGGGTAGGTGTTTTTAAAAAATGGGGTAATAAAATTTAAGTTATGAAGTGTTATAAAATAAATAAAAAAGTATTGGCCACTTAAATTTAAGTGGCAAGTTAATTTATACACATCCTCCATGTTTTCAACGTTCACTCATTCACTCACTCACTCATTTCTTCACTCACTCATTCATTCATTCATACACTCATCCATCCATTCATTCATTCAATTGTAGACATCCCATAATAATAGATATCATATGACATCGAAAATAATTACAGAACGCTGACGACGACGACGGTGGTGGTGGTGATGGTGGTGGTCGTGGTGGTGATGACGACAGCGGTGGTTGGTGATGATGACAGTGGTGCCGATAACGTAATTTTATAGAAATTGCGACGAATTCAAATTGAAACACTCGAAAGACCAATGTTCACGACAACCAAGAGGACCCATTCGTATTCCCCGCTATTTATCTCTACTAACAACAATAATAATAAACAAACAACAACAACAATAATAATAATAATAAACCAACAACAATAATAATAATAAATTTATAATCTTATAAGAGTCACTAAACCTTTTAGAAATTTTCTCGAAAGTTAATCTCAACAATGTCCAATTCAAATAAAATGTAACTCTGACGTCAGCCATGTATGCGCGTGCGATAGATATATATCTATTTATATATGTATGTATATGAATTATACATACATATATAAATAGATATATATCTATTTATATATGTATGTATATGAATTATACATACGCCCAAATAATTTTTCAATGTATCAGCAGTTTATAAGGCCATATATAATAAATAATTATTTTTGTATCAGTCAATATATATATATATATATATATATATTTATGTGTGTGTGTGTGAGTGTGTATGTGTGTGTGTATGTATGTATATATATATAGGCATAAATGATAAAACGTTGTCACTTGTGAAGATAGAATTTCGAGAAGGTAGATTTTATTTCATTTCTGCAACTCTTTTATCAACTTGCACCAATCTATTTATGAGTTTGCGAATACAATTAATTTATTTAATTTTATTTATTTAATTTATTTCTTAAATGAATCAATGTGACAAATCAGATGAATGTTCCTTTATTGGCTATATACAATCGCTGATAACATTAACACATGAAAATTATACTAATAACATCAACAGCAGTGGCAAGAATCTTAGTGAACAGTGCCGGCGACATCATCAACAACACTGACCACAACAACAACAATGACTTTAAAAATGAACCTGAGACTATTTCTTACAATGGCCGTACTCTCAGTTTTGATGACCAACTTGGAAACAGTTACAGCAACAACGAATAGTACAACAGTAACAACGGGGAATACAACAGTAACAATGGGGAATACAACAGTAACCTCACCCGCCTCGGTCATAACAACGTCATCAAAGAGTTACAGCATCATCGGCCAAGAATGTTTTGTGGCACTTGCTGTCGTTTTCGTCGCGGGGGCGAAGTTTTTTTTAAATTGAAATGAGAGAGAGAGAGTGAGAGAGAGAGAGAGAGAAAGAGAAAGAGAGAAGAAAAAGAGAAAAAAATATAAAGAAAGGGATTTGCTTCTTTATTTAGTTGATAAAATTTTCAATCCGACATTTCTTCCTATCATGCTTTTAATTTTTTTTGCTGCTCAGCCGTTTAATTGAAACTTTTTATTTGAGATATTTCAAACGAATTCAAAAACAACAATTTGCTTTCTATTTGCTTTTTGCAATTATTTAATGATGTTTTATTTTACATCTACAAAATTAATTAATATTAATTAATTAATTATTAATTAATTTTAAACAAACGATTATTTAACGTGGATTAAAATTTTGCTACGATATTTTTGGGAAAATAAAACAAATGAAAAACATTCGTCGACTTGTTCCTCATCGAAACAGCCATCATCAATCCACTCCTTCGCTAATCTGCCTTAGGTAATCTGCTGTCTCCACCTCCTTCTTTGACTACTTCTCCATCACCTACAAAGTTCAGAGCGGATCTCAAGACCTATCTGTTTGAGGAATTCACTGAAGAGCGCCGGTGAACATCGCGGCCCTCTAGAAACTAATTGTTTGATTAATCCAACCAATTAGATTTTGAAACACTATCAAAAAAGTGGCAGTAGTAGTAGTAGAAGCTGTGGTAGAGTAGTAGTAATAGTAAAAGTAGTATTTGTTGTAGTCGTATTATTGTTGTAGTCTTAGTAGTAGTAGTAGTAGTAGTAGTAGTAGTAGTAGTAGTAGTAATAGTAGTAGTGTAGTAGTAATAGTAGTAGTAGTAGTAGTAGTAGTAGTAGTAGTAGTAGTAGTAGTAGAAGTGGTGGTAATAGTAGTATTTGTAGTAGAAGTTGTTGAAAACTATGTAAATAGTCGTAAAACAAATAATAGTGAAATAAATAAGAGACTTGAAATTGTGTGGTAAGTTAATTTATTCATAAACTTCAAATTTTACTTTCAAATAACTCATTCATTCATTTATTTCGTCATTAATGCTTTATATATAGGTATATATGCAGTAATTTATGAAATTCTCTAGAATGAACTGGAAAACTGTATATTATTCTAATTTTAAGTCCCGGGCTGGTAATTTTGATGTGAAATAGTCAGAGAAAGAAAGGTATAAAAAATGAAAAAGAAAGAGAGATTTGAATTCATTTTTATCAAACTTCAAAGAGATATTGGATTGTTTTCATAAATATTGACTAATTTGATTTATATAAACTCACTTTTTCTCGGCAATGAAATTAAACTCGCTGGGTCGCAGGTTTGAACACTTGAATCAACAAATTGTTAAATAAAAAAGTTTTTTATTTTAATGAAAAATTAATAAAATTAAATAAAACGAACCAAACTATTGACAAATTTTTAAAATTTCGACAAAAGAATGACACCACATTACGTGTGAGACCCTGGAAGCCGTTTAAACTCAAATAAGTTAAATAAATTCGTAATAATAATTTTGAAAAAAAATATCAAACTTTGAAACAGTCGTAGTAATGGCGGTAGAAATGGGTTTTCAGTCAAACTCTTTACGATTTGTGTAGAGATTTGTAAAGTTGTTTCTTGACCATAACTGGGGAGGCCCTGGCCCGAAAATCCTTCTTGCAGAGTTAAGTAATTGTAGTAACGTAGCAGTAGCAATTTTTAATAAAATATAATAAAATGAACCGATTATGAATGAACACTCCGATTTATTAATATTTAATCAAGATGCTTGTCAACAAAGCCGTTCAGGACCTGATTTTTGAATAAGGTAATTACGTAATGTAAGTAATTTTAATCAATTCAACTCATGAAATTATGTGTGCTTATGTAAACATGCGTATACATATTTAGCATTATCATTTATGTATTATTTACTATTTTTTCTCAAGAGTTTTTAAAATTCTTCCCATTCGCGTATATCAATCATCGACATGCCATAAATATAAAATAAACTTTTAATTTTCATTCAACGCAAACGATAAACTTACTTTTGTGTAAACTGTTAAAAAAACACAAAATTAAATTAAATAAGGTAAACAGAATATATTAACAAATCATAAATGAGTCAAATTCGATGGGAACAAAGTGAAAATAATTTTTCATGGAATTAGTTTTGGCTGAATTACTATAGGAGGCCAAGCTCAATCTTGATCAAATGAGAATGTAACTGATGATCCCCAAACAGCATATCATGTTTAGGAACTTCAAAGTACCATGTTCAACATAATTATTTTTGGAAGGATTCTGAGTGATATTAAAGATATAAATCAAGCTTACTAATATATCTGGAAAAAAAATTTTAAATGACCAACAGGTTTATATCTGCAATCAGTACTGTCAATACAATTTGTGATGTATTCCTGCAAATATTGCTTTACCTTCGAGTATTCACAAATGCTTGATTTACAAAAGCTAAATTGGTAGGGTTCTCCTTTGAAATAGAGACGTATAAACGCTATTTTTCCACGCTCCATAAGTACAAAAACAAAATTAGTGGCAAAGGGAGCAACCCTGGTTGTTTTGAACTCTCTGTTCTTGTTAGCTTCGAAAGTGTTATGTTTTAATGGAGGATCACCCCTGAACAATCCAATGATGTTCAACAGAGGTATCAATGTTTCAGCATGGCTAAAGTAAAATCTTGCAATCTCCTTGCTGCATGAAGTTCATATTAAATAAAAAGTGGTTGTTTGATGAATCATTTAAAACAATTCTAATGATAAACTTATTTCAACTGTAAACAGATTATTAGACATAACTAACCTTTTTTTAGCCAGAATTTCATCATATATGCCAAAAATTTCTTTAATGACTCCACAACTCATGGCATAGTTTATTTTCACACCAGGGCCTTTCTCATAATATGTCTGTTTAAATGTTATAATAAAAAATTATTGGAACAAGTGAACTGATTAGAAGCCATAATTAATGATTTAACCTCTACATACTTATTAATATTATTATTATCACTTTGAGCTGTTACATAGCTTCAATAACTAAAAAAATTAATAAAATAAAGAGAAAAAAGCTTTAAAATACTGATAAATCAGAGGCATATTCCACGATTTCAAGAATTCTGTCATCTAAATATTTAAGCCAGTTATTAGTACGATTTATTGCCAATTCAAAGCCTGCTATAGTTACCCATGCACTTATCTCCCCTAAATGAGAAATTCAAAATTTTCAATTAAACCTGTGTAATATATCAAAACATAAAAAGTTAACCATTTGTTAAATCGAGGCCTGGTAGCCCGACTTTTTCTTTTATGTAACTCAACAGTTTATCCCTGTTATTATTCATAAATGTATTCTTTTCTTCCCCCATTGTCTTATTGTTTTTAACTGTATTGATATATTCAGTGCAGAGATCAAAAAATCTCAGCATATCATCACGATTTACCCTCTTGTAAGCATCGTTCTTAGAATTAGGATCAACAACAGGCAAAAAGGTTTCAATGAACCCTTCCATGCTTTCCATCGCTCTTGATTTAAATGTGTGTCCAAAAACTGTATTGCTCGGATCGATTTTACCAAAATTTAATTCCTTGAATATTCCGCCATATTTTCTACCGATATCTCTATGTTCTTGTTTGCCTGACGGCGACAGCAAACTATATTCCGGTTTATTTTTCATATCTTGAATTACGTCATTCATTTCTTGATATTTATCAGCCGAAAAGTTTAAATTCTTTAGCTTCCCCATAATACTCAAACCGTTTTCGACGTCCTTTTTGCCCGGATATCGAGTTCCGTGCCTGAAGTTGCCGTACATGTGCAAGAACTTATCGGAAGGTAGAAAATTGTCACCGAATAGAATAGGCATGAACTTGTCATGCTTATCAATCTCGACTGACAAATTGTAATGTGTTTTTGAACCCAGACGGTACAAATTTTCTTCGCTCAAATGGAGTTGGCCACAAAAAATAAAAAGAATAAAAATGGAAATTTCGTTCGACATTTTTAAAATTTCATAAGTTCGACATTTTAAAATTGAAAATTCCCTCGTTTACGTGATAAGCAAAAAATTTAAAAAAAAACGGTTAAATACGGGATTAACAATCAGACCATCATGAAGAAGCAGCATGTATTAATCCTATTTTGTAATAAATATAACAAACTAAAAAACACAATAAATTATTGCTTAAAGATCGTTTGATGCGCCTAAGCCTACGCAATTGTCCAGAGCATTCCTTCGAAACTGCCCTATATGAATGTTAAAAGATGTGCAAAATTCGATGTCAGAATCACCATGTTTGATAGACTCAATGTCTATCAGACTTATATCATCATATCGAAGCCAACATGAAGGCCAACATTACCACTAATGAATGAATGATGCAAAGAGTCAAAAACAATAAATATAGTAGCTAATAAACCATTAAAAACTGATAATTAGAATGTTTTAAATTATGTTCAAACACTAACGTTTGAACTTTTTTTTTTTATTAGTCTTTATTATTGCAGCTCTCACATACGCAGAGCCACTTACAATGTTACAGATATATTATGTTATCTATATATCTTTTTATTATGTTCTTCTTTTCTTCATCTATTTATTTGAAGCAGCCATCTTTTGCCACAAAGGCTGTTTATCTATTTTCACACGACGTACACATGTATTTATGTGCACGCGCAAGCACCGCATCATATACGCTGAGTATATGATAGCCATTGAGATGTTTGACTCAGCGACTATTTGAACCACCGAGCCATCTCGCCAGCCAACGTTGGCATTAAATAAACTCATCTGTCAAAGTTGTGATATTGATTCTGTTTTTTTCTTATTTTATTTCCTGCATTGTTTATATTATTAGTGTTGTTGTTGTTATCAAAGTTTTCATTATTTTTAACAACTTTTTCTCCGAAAAAATTTGTAATGCATTTTACGGTAGATAAAAAAGTCTCAGAAAATGCCTTTTTTAATAATTTTTTTTGCTAAGTTGTCTATGCACAAAAAGTTTAAAAGTTAATTTGCAGATTGGATTTTATAAAATATACTTGTTTTCGTGTTACGCGCCGGCGATTTTAATATTTAAAACAATCTTTTATTAAATATTAATTTATTTATTTTAAGGTATGTTTTCAGTTATTTCGTTTTTTTCAATTTTTTTTTATTGAATTTCCAAAAAAATTGTCAGTACTAGAACTATTTTGACAAATCAAAAAATAAGTTAGGAACAGATAGCAAATACAAAAGGTAGTGCTTAGTAGAAGATCACGAATGGAGGAATTGGAGGCATCATTAGCATTGAATTTCAACGTTTCAGGAGACCCAAACAGTTCATTGTCCACAGTCCATCCAAGGTTGTCAGTCTACAAAAATTATGCCCGACATGATCCCGAGAGAAGTCAAGAGAAGAGGAGGAAAGAGATAATGAAGACGATGAAAGAGTATGTGATGATGTTGTTGATGTTTATATGGCGATGATTTATTTGTATTGTACGGTGATGATGATGAGATATATGTGATTGATTTATATATGATGATTTTGGTGATTAGATTATTGGAAGATTAATAATCATGTCATGTGGATAATTAGATTGATAGTCAAAAATATTCAAACTAAAATCTTTCAAAAAGATTTCTATGTGTTTATACAATATTTATATATTTATACATATCTATGGATATATATGTGTGTGTTTGTGTGTTTGGTAATAAATATGTAATGTTTAGGTAAGTCTTTCATTGTTTAGTGTGCTTTTGTGTACATACAAGTTGGTATTATATCTACAACATGACAAGATTTTTATTAGAAATAGATTTTTCTTACATGTGTCTTTCTACATTTTTACATTGCAAGGTTTAGCTTAGTGAACTGCTGCACTCACAGCATATTTTAACCAAGCCATGTTGTTTCGGTTAACAAAGGAGTGTCTTTTTCAATGTTTTTGTCTGTTTTCTGTCATTTTAAAGCTTACAAAAATTTCCAAGTCTTGTTTTTACTGCACTATTTCTTTGCTAGAATTATTAATAATAATTTAATTTAAATTGTGAATGAGTTGTTATGAAGGATTTTATTTTTATTCTGTTTTGAATTAATTCAACAAATCGTGTCAAGTCTTTTTTTATTATTTTCTCACTAGTTGATGGTGTTTAAAGTTTAAAATATAACAATGAATCAAAATATAAAGATCGGATTTTATAGGTTGCTGTTGTTTTTGTGTCACTCGTGCACTGTATTGTTATCGCTTGTTTCTTAGCGTGGTGGGCTGATGTCTGTTACAAGCTTCTGCTGTCATATATTTGATTATCTTCCTGAAAAGTGTCAAAATGAATGTTTCATAAAAATCATTCACTTGAAGTTTTTTTTTCTCTACTTCAGAAAAAGATCCAATGTGGTGGAAAGGTTGAGAAATTTGACCAGTGATGGTTTTGGGGAAGATGAGGTCGTTGGGTGCCACGCTGACCTAGACTTTCCTCCCACCGTAGTTGCCCCTCCCGTCCACATCTCGGGTGACCTTGAAAAAGATAAGGTCGTCAGTGGTCGCAATGTTGCCGCTGCTGCCAAGAGACTCAAGGACCAAGTCAGTCGGTTGGATAGATGAAGGAATGAATTAAATATTTATAGGAAATTATTTTTTTAAATGATTTACCGCGATTACGATTTAGTTTAAATTATAATAATGAGTAATATTAAATAATGAAAATAATGATAATTTTTAATAATATTACTATAATAATAACTATAATTTCTTATTTGTTCTCAGTTGATGTTGTCAGAATGGATGATAGATGTGCCAGAGGACTTTGAGGACGATTGGTACATGCTGAAGTGCCCTGTCGGGAAGAGGTGTCTTGTAGTGGCTTCTCAGGTCGGTTGGGGTGGTCTGTTTGATGGGTGGCTGGCTAATTGGGGTTGTTAATTGGTTGGTTGGTTAGATGACTGGATGGTTGGTTGTTTGGTCACAGCAACATCACCACACCACATGCATCAACACACACACACAGGGCACAACAAAAGTCTTTCGTCGAAATGGTCATTTGCTAATCGAGTTCCAGTCAAATCTCTGCGGTGGGTCCAGGGCCGATCTTAATAGGAAACGTTTGTTACTGTTGTTGTGGCTGTTGTGGGTGGCGGTGATGCTGGTGATGTTTTGTTGCTGTTGAGCAAACCAACTGACATACATCTATGAACAGTACAAACCGACTGACACACATGTATGAACAGTACAAACCTTCATGAACACAGACAACGCGATACTGGACTGTGTCTTCAGCAACATGAAGCAGTTCTATGTATTGGACATGATGGTCATCAACAACATGCAACTCTATAATGTTGATGTTTGTTGCTCTTCAGTAATTTTTTCACTCCGTCATTTACTCGTTTATTCATTCAATCGTTCGTTCAATCAATCAACCTCCTCCATGCAGACTGAATGCAGATGGTTCATAATGGAATCTAAATTTAGGGAGGAGTTACACGAGGCCACCGTCCAATCAAACTTCAATCCCTACCCATTCGTGCTCTGTGATAGGACATACAGTTGCCGGAAGGAAGTGCTGGAACAGCTGATGGCCGTTGAGAGCGAGGAGTATGATGTTAGCCATCAGCTGATTTGATCATTTGTTTCCTGATTGGTTCCATTTTTTAATTGCTCATTCGTTTTCTTACATGTGCCTAATGATTTTGGAATCATCAAACATACAGTCACGTGCACACAAACACACGTACGGACACACACATACAATCACGTGCACACACACACACACAAACACACACACAGCTGGATGGGTTGTTGTTCTACCACAAGAAGGCTGACTACCTCATAGGTACCACTCCCTTCCAACTCTGGCTCGTTGCATGCATGCTACCTGATGTCAGTTTATTCATTCATTCGTTCATTCATCCGTTCACACATTTTTTCGTTCATCATTCATTCATTCGTTCATTCATTCGTCTATTCATATCTATTCCTAAGATTATTATTTGTTCGTCAGTTGATTCACTTTCATAAGCAATGTACGCTAACCAAATACACACACACACACACACACACACACACACACACACACACACACACACACACACGTACGTACGTACGTACGTACAAACAAACAAACATACAAACAGTTTCTGGGCGTCAAGGTGGCAGACTCGTACATACGCAAGAAGCCACTGTGGTACAAAAGCAAGCTGCAGCACGTAAAACGCGTCGAGAACAACAAGACGAGAGTCTACAGGACGTGCGATCGTCTGACTTCTGCTATGGGAGCTGCTCGTATTGCAGATGCCAGCGCTGGTGACAACAGCAACAACAACGATAATAATAATAATAATAATAATAATAATAATGATGATGATGATAATAATAATAATAATGATAATGATGATAATGATAATAATAATGATAATAATGATATCAACATGAATTAAAATTATTGGTAGCAGTGATCAATAAGTTAATTTTTTTAATTTATTTTACGGAATAAATGCTTTATCATTTCTGTTTTTGCACTGATTCATTCAGCCAATCATTCATGTATTCGTTCGTTCATTCAATTCTGCAGCTATATTCTAGTTTTTTTTTCATTTTAACTTCTCTTAAGATTTTAGTTATTTATAAAATTTGATAGATAGATAGATAGATAGATAGATAGATAGATAGATAGATAGATAGATAGATAGATAGATAGATAGATAGATAGATAGATAGATAGATAGATAGATAGATAGATTTGTTTCTTGGATGGAATAGAAGGTAGGTGTCGTTGCAATTCATTTTATTTCATTTCGATGTGTTCATGTTTATAAACAATAAACAAATCACGAGTAAACAATAATAATAACTTTTATTATTTGCGTAAACTTTCTTATTTTTTGTTTAATTTCTCGCCTGATTCTGATTAACTTTTGTACGGTGGACACCTCATCAATGGAAATATTATGTTAGGATAAATAAATAGAAATAATTTGTAAAATAATAATTATCAGCGAAGTGGTAGCAACTGTTTTTTGAAGTGATGGCTGATGCTGCTAACGATTCGTTCATTTCTAAACAAACATCATTAAGAAAACCAAAGCGAAACTGCTACAACATCAACAATAACCACGGCAATAACGATCACCGAAGCCGCTACAACAGCAACGATCGCCACGACAGCAGCAGCAGCAGCGTCAACTCCACAGGCATCCTTTCAAACGCAATAGCAACCATACGCACCGACGAGGATAATAATAACAACGACAACAACTATAATAATCTTAATGATGGTGACCCATCATGCCCCACTACGGATGTGAAGCTTATGAATGGCGGAAGTGGCGGCGATTGTGTGGTCAGTGGCGATGGCAACGTGGCTGCTAACGAATGCGTTGTTGTGGTTGTTGATGGTAATGATGTTCCGACGAATCTTCATCCTCATCATCACCATTCTTCTCACCGTCGTTGCCATACTTTAAAACAAAAATTTCCAAATCTCCACCAAGATGGTGATGACGACGACGATGATGATGATTGTGGTGAGAAAGATGATGATGATGATAGTGGGGATGACTTTGGAGATGATGAAGACGACGACGATGACGACAGTTACGTCAGCATCACCGACCCACAGGAAGTGTATAGGAGAGTTTTGAAAAATATCGTAACGAGAAATTCGAATGTGGAGACGATGAGGAGAGAGGAAAAAGAGGCAAGAAATAGACTAAGGAGAGAGAAGAGGAGGACGAAGATGAATATTTTTGATACCAACTGCAGCCACCACAAGGGCGACAGAAGTTACCACCACTACCACAGCCTCAACGATTCTAATGTTTACAGCCACGAAAATTACAACCAACAACGACAACAACAATGTAAAAATAAAATCACGCATCACAACAACAGCACGGAGCAACGAGATAGATACTACAACAACAACCCAAAAAACAGCCGGCACATCGTCAGCAACAAAACAAACATGAGACATCTTACGTGCAGGAAAAACTGTTTCGACAGATTCTCACATCGCAGCCACACAAACAACGACAACATCATCAACAACAACAACAACATCATCAACAACAACAACAACATCATCAACAACAACAACAGCAGCGTCATCAACAACAACAACAAAAACAGAAAGACAAACAGATCGACAAACGCCGATGTGGATGTTGACGATGATGACCTGAAGCTGGAAGGTGGAATGCCACTGGGAGATGCCGGAAGCGCGGCAGAGGAGGACGAGGATGAGAAAAAATACTTCAGGGATTTGTTCCTCTTCATCAAGTCCTACATGCTTTACTCGCTGCTCGTGCTCGTCATCATTCCTCTTTTGGTTACTGTCGTCACGGGTTCGTATGCCCCTGCCCTTGTTTTGGCTGGTTCATTCATTCATCCATCTATTCATCAATTTACCCATCCATTTATTCATTCACTCATTCATTCACTCACTCATTCATTCATTCGTTTAACTAGCGGGCGCCTTAATATACGAATGCTACAAAAAGGATTCGGTGACGATAATAAATTCTCGATCGTGCTTTGCTTGCGGCAAGGGCAAGACAAGAATGTGAGTTACCAATCATCATCATCGTCGTCGTCGTCCTTCCCCTCTTCAACATCATCATCACCATCACGATCATCATCATGACCAGGTGTCCTAATAAATACCCTTACACGACTGAAGTGGAGTTGGAAGTGGAGGTTTGCGCCAGTAAGGAAGATTACTGCGTCGTCGCTATAACACGTTGGTGGTGGTGATGATGATGATGATTGTGGTGGTGATGATGATGATGGTGATTAAGGTATTGTTGAGACTCTTAATTATTATATAAAAATGATGACGACGATAATGATGATGATAGTAACAGCAACAACGATAACAATAATAACAATCTCGCCAGACAACTTGACGACATTCCGTGGTTGTATTAAGGAAGCGGAAGTAAACTTCCCGGACTGCAGGTACAACGTGAAGAGGGATGGCATGATCGATTGGTACTGCGCATGTGAAGAGGATTTCTGCAATAAGGATTTCATCAGCTGTGGCTGCAGGACGTACGGAGAAAGCGCCGGTACTGGTCTGAATTTTTTCATCGGCAGTGGAGATCATGGTGGTTGGAATTGTCTGAAAGTTATAGCTGCGACTTTGTGGTCATGGTGGTGGTGTAGATGGCTGGTGTGGTGGTCGCGATTCACATGAGGGTTTGCCTTTTTCTCTATTTTCCTTTCTTTCTCTCCCTCTTTCTCTTTCAGTATTTCTTTTTCTCTTTTTTAAATCTCTTTCCCTCTCCCTTTTGCTTTTCTTGAATGACGATTGGGTTATAGTTAGGAATATTTTTCGTTATTTTGTTACCTGTAGCTTTAATTTGTAGTACAATGTTATAGATTTTCTGTTCAATCATTATTTTTGTTATTAATGTAGTTTATTATTATTTATTTATTTATTTATTATTGTTACCGTTGAGTTGTATTAGTAGGTAGACTTTATTATATTTGTAATGTAAGTTAGTTAGGTAACAGAACGAAATAGATATAAATGAAATGAATTATCTTAATCTCAGACCTCCAATTTATCAAACATTCAAACAAATGAATAAATAAATAAATGATTGTAGAGACCGGACTACGAACGTGTGGTCGATCGAGTTGAATGTTGATTTGATTGTAAGTGCTGGAATTGAACTATAACTCTTGCTGAGCAAGTAGAGTTGAACGCTGCTGCACGTGAATGTAGTTGAAGTAGCTATTATTATCAGAGCATTTAACCTGAACAGAGTTGAATTAATACTCTCAAGTGGAAGATAACATTTTCAGATAGGTATCATCACCCTTGATATAAAATACATTTATAATTTTGTTATCTCGACTAATATATGTGAGAATTTTTTAAATTATGAAATTGTGATAATTATTATTATACGCAAATTATAGTTTAGAAAACAAGCTATATATGACGTCTGGTTTAAAAAATACTGATAATTTCTTTTTGAACTGAAATCAGTTTTAGACTTTTTTAGTTTCGAAATTCAAATTTATAACCACGTGTGTGTTTTTATATGTGTGTGTGTGTGTGTTGTGCCTATTTATCTCTAGAGTACACATGCGCTCAGTGTTCAGTGCGCATGAACTTATTTACCCATGGTACTCAAGTACCTGACGATAACAAGTATGTAAAGTTTTAAATAAAAGTTAAACGACCATTGAAGCATGGTTCGTCGGTTCGAGTCGAGCAAAAAATTTTGATATATAATCCATTATACGCGATTGAACATTGTCGCGTAATAAGGCGGAGGTTGTTGGAGGATCCTTGCACGGCGTGTGAAGGCTTCTGCAGGTGTCAAACTGTGACATGCATGCACTATCGTCACTTACAACATAGACAACAAAAAACAACGCAGGATATCAACAACACCAGCATAGATATCAGCAACAACAACATAGACAACGAAACAACAACAATACAGACGTCAACAACATCTGCAATAGCAACAAACTTCTCAGTCTGCGCAGCGAAATGCGTTCAAATTTAAAAAGGATAAGTTTAAAAATGGAAACATCATCATCAACATCGTCACCATCATCATCGTCACCACCATCATCATCATCACCACTACCATCTCCAACATCATTGCTACCGTCAGCACCACTATCATCGTTATATTTATACCCGCCATCTACATTGGCTGACCACCAATTATCGCCCATTCCCCAATCTCCGTCCACACCATCACTATTTCCGTTCTCATCATTATCAG